ACACACTCGAGTCCTTGATAGCCACAACTTGCATTAAGGAGAGGAATACCTGCCGGCCTACGTCGACCTAGACGAAGACGATGCGCTCGGACTCCTCGAGTGGCTCCTCGACGACCTCCCATCACGCGACAGCCCGCGGGACCCACTCCTCTTACGGGTCGACCCACGGGACCCATCTCTCCTCACATATGGAGACACGCTCCTCGAGTGGTCCCTTCTCGGAGGAGACGAGTAGCTCCTGCTTCTCGACCGTCCGGACGAGCCGCTGCGCGAGTAGCTCCTCCTCGACCGCCGCCACCTGTATCTTGGCGGGGTCACACTCCGGTAGCAGCTCCTCCTATAGCTCCGGTCGTCCGGCGAGTAGTCCTCCCTTCTCCGGCGGTACCTCCTCTCGGGTGAATCATAGTAGTAGTATCGCCTTCTCACTGGGGACCCGCTGTATGATCGAGATCGAGATCGAGATCGGGAATAAGATCGCCCGCGGCTGTCGACTGGAGAATAAGATCGACGGTGGCGGGTGTAGTAAGGAGAGTAGGATCTGCTGCGGCTGCGGCTCCTGGACGAGTAACGAGGTGAGATGCTTCTCGAGCGAGGCGAGTAGCTACGAGAATAACGGCGCCCTGCACGGGAAAATAGATATTGTTATTGTCTAAAACGGCAAATCGAGACATACAACAAGAGTGGATTTATGTTGGTTTACCACGAACTGTTCTCAGCCCGAGGTACCTTCCGGGAGTGGGTGTTCGGCCCCTACGTCTTCTAGCCTGCAAAGTTAAATGGGACTTGTGAGATTAATTTGTTCTATGGCACATGATTATGACGAAATACACGTTTTACGCAATGCCAGCTGCAGAAGATGGGTCACTACACAGCAGCCAGATATGGGTAAAGGTTTGAAAGTACAAAAGAAAGGAGAAATGCAGGGCATACAACCCACTGAAATATTAGTCTGATATTTACTTGGTTTGATTTGTTAGTTTGGTGAAGAGCTGCTACACACAGCTTCCCTGTTGATAAAGAAACTCAAGCGACAAGACAGTGTAACTTTCAAACTATGGAGATTAGATAACTGGATATAAAAGTGAGAAGGAAGGAAGGATAACATACAAAGGAAAGCAAGCTAGTTTCATTTACCTTCTCCACGGTAATAACCCTACCCTCAAGCACTGTACGGTCCAAGTACTTGATGCAGCGATTGGCTTCTTCCAAAGTTGACATAGTTACAAAACCAAACCCACGAGATTCCCTTGTCCATGGATCAACAACAAGGTGAACATCTTCCACCTGAAAAAAATGAAACAAATGAACGACATTAAGCGCAGCATTTTTTTTTTTCTTTTTTTTTTGAAGCACCAAAAGTGCTAACCGGTTTTAGTAAAAATCGGTTAAAACTAATTAAGGATGAACCAACACTTCAAGGTGATTTGAGAAATCAAGCACTACTTTCCCATACCTTTCCCTCAGTTGAAAAGTGCTTCTCAAGATCTCTCTTTGTTACCCGAGTAGAAAGTCCCGTCACATACAAGTTATTTCCAGGATTGTCCACATCGCTAGAATCACAGCTCCTGTCAGTTATAATTAATAAAATGGAATAAAGGTACCATTCATATAATCCGACTGGGAAGAAACACAAGCATAGGAAACAAGTGTAAGTGAAATGCTGCTAACTATACCTTGACCTGCTCCTTGACCGAGACCTGGAAAGAGACCTACTATACCGCCTATAAGGTGAAGGGGAACTGGAGTACCTGAAGAACCAAAATTATTCCACCACATAAGCATCACTTTGAAAGGACACCAAGAACACTTCATAATTAACAAAATAAAAAGAATACAAAATGTGTTGGTACACACCTTGATCGTCGAGAATACGACATCTGCATCAACAAAATCAAATTAACAGAATCAGTAATTCTGGGGCAAGCAAGTGAAATTGACCACAATTAATACAATTAGGTTAGATATAAGAAATATTAGTAAGACTAATGTTATAGTTTTCTTCTTATGACTGAGAAGGATAATAAAAGGCTATTGACTGTTTTAAGTTTTATATGCAATTTAATTAACGCATTATCCGTATAACCATATCTATAAATTGCATACAAATACAATCCCGTCTTCTAGTTATGATTATACCCATTAAATTTCTTAAAACACACACAGCTGCAAAAGATAAAAAATGCCAACCCGCTTTTCGAAAATCAAATCACCAGCATTTTAAACATGTGTCACCAAACTACAGCCCCCCATAATATTGAGCCCGAATCATAGCTGAATCCAGAAATTCAGACAAACATCAATAAACATCAAACTGCAAAATGACCACAAAACAAAAACCATCCGCATTACCAGAAGCAATTTTCCCTTCACATGAAAAAAGAAATCCAGATCACGAAGACATGAGATGCATTCACGAAACATGAACTGATAAGATAACAGAGAATGATAGAGTTCAATCACGATAGACCGATATAACACTTAGCATTTTCACAGAAACCTTCGCATGAAAAATTCGATGAAATTCCTAAAGAGTGACGAATTCCAGATATTTTCGCCAAACATGAATAAAAATAGAGCTCCATCACCATAGAACGATACAAAAATTAGCATATAAACAGCTAAACCTTCGCATGAAAATCAAATTCCAAAAAAAAACTGGCAAATCCAAAATCATTCAATGATTGACACACGGCTGAGATCCAGTTCAATTCCCCATTGACTTGAGATAAAATCGCTGGCATACAAACCACAGATCGATGATAAAATTAGCATAATCATTTGTGAAACTGACCTTGAAAAGGCGATTGCGCTAACAGTCGACCGGCAGATTGATAATCTTTAGTTTTTTCTACTTCCTTTTTCCTGTTTATCACCTGATGGATGTCTCTGGAAGCTGGCTTTGAGCGACATTATATATAGGCAGAGGTGCAAGGGAAGTTTCTGGAAAAGCCGAGTGACGCGTATTAACAGTTTTGGGCCGAGAGTATCGCATCTAGTTCAAAGAAATTGGGCCATAAATATTATGGATCCAAAAAGTCTATACATTACATAAGAAAGCCTCATGTGTGTGAGTTTCTCCCCGCCCATGGTCACAACAAAGCCTCATATGAACTGAAATCGGGTTTTTTATATTTAAGTTTTGACTCGAGTTTTTATTGACCCATGCTAGTTAAACGAATCAATTAACGAGCTCATACTCATCTCGTTGATCCATATTAACAAATTATTTTGATTCTTAACAAGTCAAAGCATGGAAAGTTATATATAATTTTTTTCGAAGTTTAAAAGCTATTATATATATATATTTTAATATGTTGGATTGTGCTCACGAACAATTTATTTTGTTTGATAGTTTTAATTTCATCAAGATCACATATGAGTGTGTTTGTGTGTGAATGTGTGTGATCGAATGTTTAAAACCCAATGATTGAATATGTAATTTTATAACTATTGTCATTAATCTTTATATTTCATTTCCTTATATTTTTTGTTCTCCTAATTGGGAGTCACGCCATGTAAAAATTAGTTGTCACCCATACGAATTTCTAATATCCGATAGGCGATTGAAATGTTCGTATGGGACAAATTGATTTCTTTCATGAGCAACATGGATCATGCACGAATCATTTCATCAGAGTTGACTTTTTTCTTTAAAAAAAAAATGACAAGATTCACGAGCAAGTTGTTAGATGGCATGAGAATTGATGTAAAATGACCTTAAAATTTTAAGTAGGCTCTTATTAATTAATTATTATTGTACCCAGAGGATGGGAAAATTAGAGTTCAAAACACATACGGCTCATTCGTATGGCATGATGGATTGGATTAATAAAATGCTTAAAGAAACTAGAAACAGGTTAATCATATGCTAAAAAAGAGAACTCTCACAAGTAGGAAAAAAAAAATAAGCATTAAAAAGTATACCAACTAGTAACGGATCTAGAAATTTCACGCAGGGAGCTCGATTTTAAATATTATTACAACGAGCTTGTACTTCATGTCAAAACGTTCATTTCATATAAAAATGTATTTACTATAAATATGTGTACCATCAATATTTTAAAAATTTAGAATCATATCACCGTCAAACTTAAAGAAAAAATGAGATTTCAAGTATTTGTAATTTAAGTTCAACATCAATAATTTATTGAAATGAACATTTTTAAGAAGAAAAAAAATAAATTTAAAAACATGTGATTACACAAAAAAAAAGTAAAAAAAAATAAATATTAAAATATATCAATCCAACTAAATACTGAGTTTTATAAATCACTAAATCAATTTACAATTAAGAGACCGAAAGAATTAATTATTATTAATATTTTGAAAAATTTATTTAAAAATATAAAATATAAAATTTGTTAGTATATTTTTCAGTAAATAAAATTAATAAATAATATTATTAATTTAAATTAAAGTAGCATAGAAAATAAATTTTAATTATTAATATTGTAAATATTTTCTACATTTCTACATATTTTATAGTATTATATTTTTTTTAAAAAAAAAATAATCAGGGGTCCCCCTTGGCCCCGATACAGATCCGTCAATGATACGAACTAAAAAAAATTGAGGTGATGATTTTTCTCACACATGATGTGTCGCCTATCATATGGAAGTAACACAATATTTTCACTCTGTTAGAATATCACTTTTGAGTTGTCTCACATCGTTCATTTATGGAAAATAGACCCACCTTATAAGACTAATGGACTACTCATCCTTCCACCAATTGGTTTTGGGATGGAACCCCATTTGAGCTTCATATGGGCTTTTCCCTTCTTTCATGGTGTCCTTCATGGTAGTGGGCCAGAACCCATTTTCCCCCAATTTCTGTCATGATATCAGAGCAAGTTATCTTGGACTGTGTGATGACGTACCCATTGTTTATCCCCCACGTACTCGTTTATGGGAACCTGTTTGTAGTAGGGCTTGGGGCACCCAGCCCAGTTGGGTTTGGGCTTTCGAAAGACTCACAAGTGAGGGGGCGTCTGTTTGTAGTGCCCCAAGCCCAGTTGGGTTTAGGCTTTCGAAGGACTCACAAGTGAGGGGCGTGTTAGAATATTACTTGTGAGTTGTCCCACATCGTTTATATATGGAAAATAGATCCATCACTTGTGAGTTGTCTCACATCGTTCATATATGGAAAATAGACCCATCACTTGTGAGTTGTCCCACATCGTTCATATATGGAAAAATAGACTCACCTTATAAGACTAATGGACTACTCCTCCTTCCACCAATTGATTTTGAGATGGAACCCCATTTAGACTTTATATGAGTTTTTCTCTTCTTTCATGGTGTCCTTCATGGTAATGGGTCAGCACCCATTTTCCCCCAGTTTCTATCACACTCTTATAAAATAAAACCCACACTCCACATCAATCAAACCCCAAGAAAAAGCAAGCTAACTATGAATTCTCTCCTCCTCAGCCTCCTCCTGGCGGCCGCCGCCCGCCGCCCTTCTCACCTCCAAACTCCTCCGCGGCCGCCGCCTCAACCTCCCTCCCGACCCCACGCCTCTCCCGATCTTCAGCAGCTGGCTCAAGATCGGCAACAAACTCGACCACCTTACCCTGGCCCGACTCGCCAAGACCTACGGCGACCTCCTCCTCGTCCGCATGGGCCAGCTCAACATAGTGGCCGTCTCCTCCCGCCACCTCGCCGCCCGAGTCCTCCTGAGCCAGGGCTCCCAGTTGGGCTCCCCATCGCGCAACATCGTGTTTGATGTATTCACGGGCCGTGGGCAGGACATGATTTTCACGGAGTACGGGGACCAATGGCGCCGGATGCGGAGGATCGTGGTCGTGTCCTTCTTCATGGGAGAACCGCCGGAGGTGGGAGGAGGAGGCGGCGGCCGTGGTGGAGGACGTGAGGCAGGACCCGGCGGCCGCCGGAGAAGGGGTGGTGCTCAGGCGGCGGCTGCAGCTCATGGTGTACAACAACATCTACAAGATGATGTTCGGGAGGAGGTTTGAGGGGGAGCGGGACCCGCTCTACGGGAAGGTGAAGGAGACGAACGAGGAGAGGAGTTGGTTAGGGCAGAACGTCGGGTATAACTTGGGGGATTTTATTCCGATGCTGATGCCGTTTTTGGGAGGGTACTTGAGGATGTGCCGGGAGGTGACGAGCCGGAGGTTGGGATTGTACAAGGAGAGTTTTCTCGACCAAAGAAAGTGAGTTCATTCGAAATTAATCTGCACTCGAATTATAACCGAAGATGATTCTTGATGGTAAGTGGTTGTTGTTGGGCTGTGCAGGAAAGACGCAAAGACGCAAAGCTCGATGGGTACGACATCCCAGCTGGCAGCAGGGTACTGGTCAACGCCTGGAAGCTTGCCAATGACCCGGATCTCTGGAATGGGCCTGACGAGTTCAGGCCCGAAAGGTTTCTGGAGGAGGAGTCCGGGGTAGAGGCCCATGGGAATGACTTGAAGTACATCCCGTTTGGAGTGGGCTGGAGGAGCTGCCCGGGGATCGTTATAGCAATGCCGGTGCTCGGGATTACATTGGGGCGGCTCGTGCAGAATTTCGAGATGTTTCCTCCACCGGGAGAGTCGAGGATCGACACGGCTGAGAATAACGGGAAGTTTGCTATGCGTATACTGAAACCGAGGGCTGTGTGAATTTCGTAATCATGTGCTCTTTTGCTGATAATCGTGAGAGCTAATTATATATATTAGAATGATCGGCGAGAGCTTGTTTTATTTTCCAAAGATACGCGAGTTTAATTAAGGTATTCTCGATTTGAGAGTTTATATTAATTTCCACAAGACTCACGATTTGGTGTATTTTAATTTTTAATATCCACCCCTTATTAATTTGTGCAGCATGGATCGCGAGGTTGAATATTAGGATAAATTATTGTTATACCAAAGACTCGCGAGTTTAACATATTTTGATTTTGAGAGTTATTTTAATTTTCTCGAGATTCACGAGTTACTGTATTTAAATATCAATAATCACGGAAGTTGACATAAACTAATCTGGTATTTATATTTCGTTTTTTCTTTAATTGTATAAATAAACATTGAAGCTTATTAGTTGAACGTTTAGGATGATACAAGCACGAACACATCTCATAAAACTACCTTTTCAAATTAGGTTTGTAGACAATTAAATTTTGAACAAACTAATTAGTGACAAGTGTCAAGTTCCATATTGAAATGAATCTAACAATTTTCACTTTATCGATCAAATCCATAGAAATTAAAATCATATTATTAGAGTGTAAAAGTGTTTGAAACTTTGAATTCTGCTCAGCAATTCATCTCATCAATGTGTGATGTTGCATGCTCGTTGCTTTGATCAAGTAGGAGTCGGTTTAGTTTGTTAGGAAATCGTTCTTTTTCTGTTGCATGTTTTTTCACTCAAGTCGTACTTCTCAGTTACAGAGTCGTGCTTATTATCCTTGTGTTTTTAATTGGTGTATGTGGCGTCATGTGATTGGCTTTTATAAATATTTTTCAATTGGGGCTGGAATATATTTTAATTTTCTTTGCAAATTTCATTCGGTCCATGTAAATAAGCAACAATTAACACGAACAATTATATATTATTTTTATCAAATTGGAGGAAAAAAAATAACTTAACCTCTATTGCTTATATTTTTTAAGAAAATAATTAGAAATCAAAATCTATTGATAACAATTCATAATGATGTGATTTTTTATTATTATTTAGTAATAGGGAATGTGTTTTTATATACAATGATTTATAATACCAACTTCTAATCAATATATCAGAAGTCACAATACAATTTATGAGCAACATATCATCAAACGTGAGACGACGTTGCAAATTTCACTGAGTTTTAGAAACCACTAATTCAATTTTATATAAAATAATTCATTTTTTTTTCAAATTAAACACCATAAATTGGACAGTTATGTACCCAAAAAATTTAGAGGTCCAAACAAGCCCAAATCTTGGTAAAAAAATCAGGTAGCTTAAGTGTATTGGGCCAAATTGGCTAAACCACACTTTTTTTCAACTGAAAAGCCACTCGAACATGCATCCATTATGATCACTAACCGGCTGATCACTTTGCGAGCCTCGAAGCTACCATTCATTATGATTGTTTTTTCTTTTTTTTTTTTCATTTTTGTTTAGATATATATAGACATGTGATTTTACAGATTACCTTAATCCTCCACCATCCGAGATGTTTCTTTGTAAAGAAAAGAAAGAAAATAAAATTAGTAGAATCTGTTGAAAACCATTTGCATCTGTTACAAAATCATTTTAAATTTAATAAAAATATTATTTTCAAGTATAACCAAAATATCAACTCAAAATCTGCCATACCTTAATGGTGGATCAATGAATAAAATAAATCAACTAAGTATCGAAAAAAAAAATATACATTTGAACAACTAATACATAAAAACTGCGCAATATCAAAATTCAAATAATTAATAATCCATACTCAACTGTCTAAAATCATCTCAAATTTCATTAGATTCAGATCAAACAAGTATGAAAAAACATAATAAGATGAATGAATTGAAATAAATATAGGTCAAAAACCAGGCCCCCAAATCAAGAAAAGGAATCAGAAGGAGCAGACATGCAGACCCTTTTTTAATTCAATCTCTGTGCACATTACCATGCTTCTCTCATAGAATTCATCCAGAGCATCGGCTTATTTGTACACATGGTAAAACACCAGAAACATTTACAAATATACAACAATTAATAATAAATCATGGCCCAAAAAGAAAAAAAAAAAATCAAACAAAAATTGTTTTGAATTCAATCAGTAAGGTACATGGAAATATAACCCAAGACTAAACTAAACTATTCTTCAATGGAATTGTGGCTTGGCAGCGGGAGGTTGGAGCGTCTTATATATATGTGAAGATCCAATGACATCTAGGGTTTCACTCAGATCGACATATGAATTGTCAAAACTGCCCATTCTTTTCGGTTGGGTTGGGCCTTTCATCAAAGTATTTAGCCCAGCGCCATTACATCTACACTTGTTTAATCGTCTTACAAATCCAGTTACATTATAATTTTGGGCCTATTAGCTTAGCTTGATGAAATCCAGTCAAATCTCTTCTAAATCGGCCTAAACCCATAAACAAACATTTCAAAAGGATAAAGGTCAATTTACATATCTACTTAACAAATAATTGCAAATCTATTAATTTTGCAAACTTATTTGCACATGTACCATACTACACCTATTTTATTAGGTAAAACTTGCAATAAATGAAAGAATAAAAAATTATATGTTTCTCTCATCTTCCTTCAATTACGGAAACAAACCATAATTAAAAGAAAAGAACAAATCATTAACTTTCTTCAGTTTCTCTCACTTTTCTTCATCACTCTCACCAATTTCTAATTTCATAAATCATTACACAATTTAATTTCATATTCAAAGAGGCACCGATCGTTTGAGCTTTGTGGCCGGCGGCGACCGTTTGAGCTCCGTGGCCGGCGACGACCATATTCAAGGGGTCTTCTTCAACACCTACTTTGCAGCCTACCTGATAAATGAGGAGATAAGAGAAATGTCTGATAAATTTCACTGTCAAATAATATTTTATGTATATGTTACGTTTATACTCAATATATTTCATTGTATTTTGTATTTTTATTTACATAAAAATTATCTAACCCCAATTGTGAAGTTTGAATTTTGTTTATACTTTTCGTTTATATTTTTTACTTAATTTTATACATACAATATGTATTGAATTGATATGTAAAACATGTTATAAGCGGTCTCGGTCTCAGGATGCAAAATTATCTTATTTCATGGAGCTCAATATGTAACCAACAGTTTCAAGATCGAGTACAAAGACAGAATATAGGAGCCTTGCCAATGCAGGCTGTGAACTGACATGGATTCAATCTTTGCTTGAAGAGTTGAGGTTCAAACCAATAAGAGTTCGTACTATTTGGGTGGATAATCAGGGGCTGTCTCTTTTGCAGCCAATCCAATTTAACACTCAAGAACCAAGCATATTGAACTTGATTTACACTTTGTAAGAGATAAGGTCCATCATGTGCATGGGTTAATCGAGTTTTTAGATTGTTTCATACAGGGCAATTCTTCTTGCTCCTAAGAATTAAGTTGAAAGTGGTTGCTAGAAGAACAATCAAATTGAGGGAGATTATTGGAGGTTCTCATGCAAATAAATCAGCCCTCTTGATGACCATGCACGATAGTACACTCCCATGCACAAGGACAAACGGGTACAACAAGTGTGATGGCCAAGGAAAATATTTCTTTTATGTCATGCATAATGTCACACATTGATTGGGTTACAACTCATTATACTAGGTCGTTGGATAAGAATAGAAAAATAATATGCCTTGATGAGGTGTCTATCATTAGATTATTCTATGTTTGTGTATAAGTCGAGTGTATGGGTTGAGATNTATTTGGATTTTTGAATAAACTTAATTTATTTATTCAATCATATGAACTAGTAAAATTATTATTTATTAATTAAATACTCTATTATATGATGTGAGATAGAAAATTATTATAATATAGAATAGTTGAGTGTCTTATATGTGATTTTTAAATAAAAAATAAATATTTAATTTTAAGAAGTTTTTTTTTTTTTAATATAAAAATTTCAATTACCATCATCCATGCAATATCGCTAGCAATACTTCGATCACTCATACCTTCCATAAGAAAAGAAAGTCAAGTATACATAACTCATTTCAAGATACATCTTAGTATACTAAAGGAAAATTTATACTTTGTCTACCTAAGTATAAAGAAATTTACACTTTGCCTATAATTTTTTTTCACACTTAGCTTACCTAACTTTGCAGTTTTGTACACTTTGCCATTTTCGGTCACCGCCGGCCTCATAATCCAACACGTGGCTTTTGTGCCATATTGTCACGTGTGGCCGGCAGTGATCGGAAATGGCAAAGTGTACAAAAAAGCATAGTTAGGTAGGCAATGTGTAAAAAAAAAAAAGTTTTGTAGGCAAAGTGTAAATTTTAGATAGTTAGATAGACAAAGTGTAATTATTCATATACTAAATCGTATCATATTATATTCAGTTGTAATAATTGAATTCCACTTTCAGATGTCATCATATACATCTCAATTCTTTATTTGTAATTATATAAAAATACATATATTACATTATGCTACTATTTCATCTCGAAACAAGCTAATAGGATTTAGGATGCAATAAGATTACACAGAATATACAATATGAATAATTGCACCTTATATTGTTTCAGTAATCTTATTCGATTTTGCTCATCCCATTAAATCTTCTTTTTTTAAAATAATAATAATAATAATAATAAAACAGTTCAATAATATATTTTTTTTTTCTCGAAACGATAGATAATTTTATAAATCAAAATGCACAAATGTGCGAATACACAGCAGCCAACGGCTGAATACACAGCAACCAACAGCTGAAAAAGTGGGAGGACAGGTCAGAAGCCCGCCTAGAATCCCGACTAGCAACGCTAGAATAAAAAACACACTCACAACTAAACTAACCAACAACACTAACAATTAGAACAACTACTTATGACCCCAACAGGGTAATACCCGAGTGTCGGACCCCAACGGAGTAATAAGTTTGACACTCGGGCTCACAGGGGTCAACGACCCAAACCAAAAACACAAAACACAACCTAAACAAACACAATCAACATAAAACGGACAAAAACAAAAACCTAAACAATATACGAAGCCCTTCCCCAGCATAACGAACACGCCGGAACCAACAGAGATCGGTCAACTCCTAGCAAGATCCTAAGTCCAAGAAT